TGACAATTTTCAACGAAGCATTGCCGAAGTAAAGATTTCTCTCCTATATAAACATGTAAAAAAATTAAAAATGAAATGTATAACCTACCTAACCCATTCTTTCAGATATGTAATGGGAAACAACATGAGTTTTTTGCCTAAATACAGTTCAACACTAATAGGCAATTAATGGTTATTCAAAGTGCCATAAAATTTAAATGTGTTATACGGCATGTCAGAGAGATACGTTATGTTAGACAGACGTGGGATATACGGTATGTTAGACAGACATGTGTTATAAGGTATATTAGACAGATGTGTGGTGTACGGTGTATGAACCAGACGGGTGTTGTACGGTATGTTAGACAGACATGTAACATACGGTATGTTAGACAGATGTGTGTTATACGGTATGTTAGACAGATGTGTGCTATACGGTATGTTAGACAGACGTGTGCTATACGGTATGTTAGACAGACGTGTGTTATACGGTATGTTAGACATGTGTTATACGGTATGTTAGACAGACGTGTGTTATACGGTACGTTAGACAGATGTGTGGTGTACGGTATGTTAGACAGACATGTGTAATACGGTATGTTATACAGATGTGTGGTATACGGTATGTTAGACAGACGTGTGATATACGGTATGTTAGACAGACGTGTGTTAGACGGTATGTTAGACAGACATGTGTTATACGGTATGTTAGGCAGACGTGTGTTATACGGGATGTTAGAAATGTGTTATACGGTATGTTAGACAGACATGTAGCATACGGTACGTTAAACAGACATGTGTTATACGGTATGTTAGACAGATGTGTTATATACGGTATGTTAGACAGACGTGTGATATACGGTATGTTAGACAGACGTGTGCTATACGGTATGTTAGACAGAGGTGTGTTATACGGTATGTTAGACAGATGTGTGCTATACGGTATGTTAGACAGATGTGTGGTGTATGGTATGTTATACAGACATGTGTTATACGATATGTTAGACAGATGTGTGGTGTACGGTGTATGAGACAGACGGGTGTTATACGGTATGTTAGACAGCTATGTGTTATACGGTATGTCAGACAGATGTGTGTTATACGGTATGTAAGACATATGTGTTTTATACAGTATGTTAGACAGACGTGTGTTATACGGTATGTTAGACAGATGTGTGCTATACGGTATGTTAGACAGATGTGTGGTGTATGGTATGTTATACAGACATGTGTTATACGATATGTTAGCCAGATGTGTGGTGTACGGTGTATGAGACAGACGGGTGTTATACGGTATGTTAGACAGCTATGTGTTATACGGTATGTCAGACAGATGTGTGTTATACGGTTTGTAAGACAGATGTGTGTTATACGGTATGTTAGACAGGCGGGTGTTATACGGTATGTCAGACAGAGGTGTGTTATACGGTATGTTAGACAGATGTGTGTTATACGGTATGTTAGACAGACGTGTGTTATATGGGATGTTAGACATGTGTTATACGGTATGTTAGACAGACATGTGTTATACGGTATACGGTATGTTAGACAGCTATGTGTTATACGGTATGTCAGACAGATGTGTGTTATACGGTTTGTAAGACAGATGTGTGTTATACGGTATGTTAGACAGGCGTGTGTTATACGGTATGTCAGACAGAGGTGTGTTATACGGTATGTTAGACAGATGTGTGTTATACGGTATGTTAGACAGGCGTGTGTTATACGGTATGTCAGACAGAGGTGTGTTATACGGTATGTTAGACAGATGTGTGTTATACGGTATGTTAGACAGACGTGTGTTATACAGACATGTGTTATACGGTATGTCAGACAGATGTGTGTTATACGGTATGTTAGACAGACATGTGTTATACGGTATGTTAAACAGACATCTTATACGGTATATTAGACAGACGTGTGTTATACGGTATGTTAGACAGATGTGTGGTGTACGGTATGTTAGACAGATGTGTGTTATACGGTATGTTAGACAGACGTGTGTTAGACGGTCTGTTAGACAGACATGTGTTATACGGTATGTCAGACAGATGTGTGTTATACGGTATGTAGGACATATGTGTGTTAGACGGTCTGTTAGACAGACATGTGTTATACGGCATGTTATACAGATGTGTGTTATACGGTATGTTAGACAGATGTGTGGTATACGGTATGTTAGTCAGACATGTGTTATACGGTATGTTAAACAGACACCTTATACGGTATATTAGACAGACGTGTGTTATACGGTATGTTAGACAGACGTGTGTTATACAGACACGTGTTATACGGTATGTCAGACAGATGTGTGTTATACGGTATGTAGGACATATGTTTGTTAGACGGTCTGTTAGACAGACATGTGTTATACGGCATGTTATACAGATGTGTGTTATACGGTATGTTAGACAGATGTGTAGTGTACGGTATATTAGACAGACGTGTGTTATACGGTATGTAAGACAGATTTGTGTTATACGGTATGTTAGACAGACGTGTGTTATACGGTATGTAAGACAGATGTGTTTTATACGGTATGTTAGACAGACGTGTGTTATACAGACACGTGTTATACGGTATGTCAGACAGATGTGTGTTATACGGTATGTAAGACATATGTGTGTTAGACGGTCTGTTAGACAGACATGTGTTATACGGTATGTTAAACAGACATCTTATACGGTATATTAGACAGACGTGTGTTATACGGTATGTCAGACAGATGTGTGTTATACGGTATGTTAGACAGACATGGGTTATACGGGATGTAAGACAGGTGTGTGGTATACGGTATGTTAGACAGACATGTGTTATACGGTATGTTATACATGTGTTATACGGTATGTTAGACAGATGTGTTATATACGGAATGTTAGACAGACGTGTGTTATACGGTGTGTTAGACAGATGTGTGTTATACGGTATGTTAGACAGACGTGTGTTAGACGGTCTGTTAGACAGACATGTGTTATACGGTATGTAAAACAGATGTGTGGTATACGGTATGTTAGACAGACATGTGTTATACGGTATGTTATACATGTGTTATACGGTATGTTAGACAGACATGTGTTATACGGTATGTAAGACAGATGTGTGGTATACGGTATGTTAGACAGACATGTGTTATACGGTATGTTAAACAGACATCTTATACGGTATATTAGACAGACGTGTGTTATACGGTATGTAAGACAGATGTGTGTTATACGGTATGTTAGACAGACGTGTGTTAGACGGTATGTTAGACAGACATGTGTTATACGGTATGTTATACAGATGTGTGTTATACGGTATGTTAGACAGATGTGTGGTGTACGGTATATTAGACAGACGTGTGTTATACGGTATGTTAGACAGACGTGTGTTATACAGACATGTGTTATACGGTATGTCAGACAGATGTGTGTTATACGGTATGTAAGACATATGTGTGTTAGACGGTCTGTTAGACAGACATGTGTTATACGGTATGTTAGACAGACGTGTGTTAGACGGTCTGTTAGACAGACATGTGTTATACGGTATGTTATACAGATGTGTGTTATACGGTATGTTAGACAGATGTGTGGTGTACGGTATATTAGACAGACGTGTGTTATACGGTATGTTAGACAGACGTGTGTTATACAGACATGTGTTATACGGTATGTCAGACAGATGTGTGTTATACGGTATGTAAGACATATGTGTTTTATACAGTATGTTAGACAGACGTGTGTTATACGGTATGTTAGACAGATGTGTGTTATACGGTATGTAAGACAGATGTGTGATGTACGGTATGTTAGACAGACATGTAGCATACGGTACGTTAGACAGACATGTGTTATACGGTATGTTAGACAGACATGTGTTATACGGTATGTTAGACAGATATGTGTTATACGGTATGTTAGACAGATATGTTATAAGAAGTTAAGGTTAAGTTTAAAAAAAGCTAGATCGTGTAAGATGAGTTACTTAAATCCCTCTTATAAGATAAATACTCACACGTAGTGTAAGTTTTAGAAACTATCAACGTTAATTAATAGAAACATCATTTAAATTAAAGCACGAAGTATATAGAACGTAAACACTGATTGATCGTATACGTATTACAATGTATTTAGTTATAAAAGCTGACTTACTTTGGAAATCAACTATAACTCCCAACACTGACGAGCACACTACACCAGTAGTCCGACACGTTACTCCCGTCATCCGCTATGATAGGGTCGGCGGCGCAAAAACAGTTCCAGGAAAATTATAAGCCAACCTCAAAACCACATCGTCACGTCCGTGACATTATGTAAATGTAGCTATTGACAGTATAAGTTTCCTAGAATAATTTTTAAACGGTGAATACTACATCATTATTCGGAGTATATAACTGTTCGATAAGGTGCAATGAATTCCACGGAATTCTATTTTCGGCAGTGATTAGATAACATCAGTGGAGGTTTTCCGTGATTATGATAGATGTATTATCATATTGATGCTGGTACACATGCTGTGTTTACACTGGGAAGTGACGTGTGTATGTATATGTGTTTTTACAAATACATACATATCTATTTTTTCTCTTTCACATGATAATAATCTCCTAGTTTGTAGCGATGCCTGTTCCTTTGTTTCCTATTAAAAAACATACACGGCAATTTCTCAGTGTTAACATTTATACTTATATAATGTAAATATATATACATGTTCTTGATATTTGGTAGTATAGTGTGCAATCTGTTACGTATTCTTTTTTGTATAAAGCACGCGGAATCTGATTTACAAAATGCATAATAGTTACAACTATAAATGGGAAAGCGAAACTGATCAGGATCAATTTTTCAGAAGTCTGTCTGTACATAACATGTTACTAATTTCCAAAACCTATGAACCGAAACCGATAGTGTAGTATATCATATTGATATCCTGACTTTTAATTGAAACCAGACATGTAGATATTATTTCCGCGGTACGTTAATAAAACCGCGCTATGTTTTTGATAGCCACGCTGTGGTGTACTATAAATAGAATACCTGGGGAATCACCTACTGGTGTTTTCTCGGTATCGTACGTTAAGCCTAACAGATATAGTTAACCTGGTAGTTCCGAGAATTACTCCTTCCTGGAATGTAGGTCAACAAATATAAAACACTGCGAACGTCGAATCCGTTATGTATTCGGTACAAGTCGACGTGGAAGGGTATACATGTCGGTGTAGCTACTCGTGACTGACCAGAGGATTCAAGTAGCGGACAAAGACAGGTCAACAACTAAGGACTATTAATGAGTCCAGTAGATGATACAGTAGTGTGTATGGCCGGTGAATCAATCTCCTCACCGTCACATCGTCCATGGTTGCTGGATAAACCTAAGGATTCGCTAAAACAATGTGAAGATATGACGGTGAACACCACGACCCCTCGGCCGGAGAGAATTGTTTATTATTGTGAAAAGGACTTCAGAGTTCAGGCTGAAAACCTAAACAATATATGTGGGTGCGGTTGGTATTATGCCAATACTACCAGTGAGATGGCTAAAGACATGTTACGAAAGAGTGATGTGGGGACATTTCTACTACGTGATAGTGTAGACCCGAGATTTCTCTACTCTCTCAGTATTAAAACTCCCAGAGGTGCTACCAGTATTCGCATAACCTATACGAAAGGAAAGTTTCAATTGGACTGTCTGGAAAAATTAAAAAAAATATTGCCAAAATTTGACTCTACTGTGGCTCTTGTGGATCATTACGTAAGAACGAGTAAAGGTGATTCGAGACGTATAAACGTCAATAGGTTTCTAGAAAGTTCTGGAAAGAAAGACATGCCAGTCTTATTAACGAAACCTCGGGTGAATACAGTATCTTCGTTACAACATCTGAGTCGACAGACAATCAACAGAAGTATACCGAACAGCGTCGAGCAAGACTACTCGTACCATAACAGTCACATAGACAAGTTGGATATGCTACCAAAGGATTTACGTACATTTCTTAAAAGTTATCCTCATCTTAACTAATCGTCTAATGTTCACACAATTAGGAGAAGGAAATCTTTCCACGGAACATCAAATCCGACCCCATGGGGTTGCCTATCCCCAGGATTCAGTTTCGGTTACAGAGACCCGAAGAGGAAAAGGATGTGTTTCGACAGTTATGTGCGCACGCAGAGACAATGGTTTGATTTCGTGGAACAGCTCCCCGTGATTACACGTACGACTACGCCATTGCAGTGGAGTGGTTACCATGATTATGTACGACCCTTGTAATGAAGTGGTTCCTATGGTTACAACAGATAACGGTATGGCTATGGCAAAGAAGTGGTGACAAGCCAGACATTGGTACGAATATTTCAGTGAAGTGGTTCATAAGGTGACAAACTGCTATATTTGACAATATATGATGTGTTCGGCACAATGTGTTTGGTTGAAATTTATACTAAGTCCCCCAACCAAGGAGGGAAAATTGAGTTGAATACGTCACTAAACATACTGACTCTGAGAAGACGGCGTGCTGGAGTGGTTACCATGACAGGGATTTAAGTTATATATTTTTACTAATATATTTATTGATTATTTTTCTACCTCAGCGATCGTTGTATACAATCGGTGTTTCTTCGTTCTACGTTATGTGGCACTCGTGTCTTGTGTATCGCCATGTCTAATATCTCGCCTAGTCAAAGATTGTTTATAGATTTAATCACTGAGGTTATATTGCTGGAACACATAATGACAGTAGAGTTGTGTGATTTGTGACACCATTGTGTTTATTTATATACCAAAGTAACATCGCCAGCTTTTGGCAAAACTTGTGCTCAATGGAGTCGATCGGTTTGCAATCAGGTGTGCTGCAGGACAGTGGGTTGGAATCTGCCTTTTTTTGGCAGCAGCATTGCCACCCGGTGCTAATAGTTACAAGGAACTGCCAGGTAGATTTAGTCCCATACTATGTATTTTAGTGAGACTATATTTTCTCACGTTCGTGCAGTACAGACACGCATTTAGGTACAAACAGTACTTTATGTTTTAAAATTAGTTTCATTTAAATAAAAGTAGGAATTAATACGTTCATTTGTCTCATTGATGTATTTAAGTATGTGCTCTATAGTAACAACAGTTCAGCAGCCCTAGCTCTAGACTGATATTAATGTACTAGATCATTAGTTAGGAGAATCCCGTCTGTTAGTGTATCGCTGTCCCACACTTAGGGCTTAAACTGGTTTATATATCAGCGAAAACATATTTACATCAGTTGGATTGTAAATGTGTTTAAATGTTAACATGACATCGGAAAAATACTAACTTAAAACGATTATTTTAAATTTATTCTTAGTGACAAAACACACTTAAAATCCATTTAGAATCAAGTGGTAAATATTGACTTACTTCTCTGGCACGGTATTTCGCGGGATGACCTTTCTCTGGCACGGTATTTCTCGGGATGACCTTTCTATCATCTGAAATTTCGTATTCTTCTGGTTGCTTTTCCTAAACCGAATCTCTTTGATCAAATTCTTTTGTTTTAAAATGTTCTGGTAGAATTCTACACATTAAAAAAATAAGAAATATTATTTGTGTTAAAAACAAATACAGGCAAATGTTGAATATCATGTATAGATATATCAACTTTGAATAGCTAATACATATAGAAACGTTGACTACTTACAGATAGAACAGTTGGATATGTAACATATATGGAAGCGTTGAATAATTAATACTAATATAGATATATAACGCTGAATAATAAATAAACCCTTTTCAGTTCCGTGGACTCGAAGAACTTATTTAACTATTAGAAAGACATCGGTCTATTCTATAGACTCTGATGTCTTTTAACCCACCTTACCCTTTTTGACTTTATATATATCACATTGTTCATATCATCTATTCGTTATCTCTTTTATTATTTTAACTCCCTTTTTATTTTAATTATTGACACATACAATGCGAATGCTTTTAAAATGAAATTTTTTATCTGATTTTATCTTCGCTACTCACACGTTTGTTTAAAAAAAAAATCAAATAAAAAAAATCACCATGGCCAACATAAACAAACAAACAAATGAATAATTAGTGATAAAAACGTTGAACGTCCGACAGAAACGTTGAATGACAAACATATGTAGAAACGCCGAATAATTAATGTAAGTATAATATATATATATATAAAGGTTGAATAATTATATATATTTAAATATAGAAACGCCGACTCATTAATATAGATAGAAACATTGAATAACTAATATAATATATATTTTTACAAACGTGGAATCACTAATATACATCGAAACGTTGAGCAATATATATATTGATAGAAATATATAATAGCTAGTATAGAAATAAAAAAACATCGTATAACATATATAGATAAAAACGTTAAATAACTCATTAAGATAGAAACATTAAAAAGTATGGATAGAATTATTGAATATAGATAAAAAAAATACTGAATAACTGATGATTGATAAATAGTATACATTTTTGTAGCTACGAATGATCCATCACCTCTTATACAACTATATAACTTTTTTGTATTTCAACGTATATGAACATAACTTGATAATAAGCTGTTAAAAAGTCAAAATGTATATAATAATACGAAGAGTGGTTACGTAAATTCGTCCCGAAAATAGATCTGTCTAAAAGGAGTGTACGAGTTGACGTGAACTTCGATAAACGCTAGACTTTAGATGATAACTGGCGGATCAAAACTGTTATTCAGTTTTTTTTAAAGAGACACTTAAGAGATGTATTTCTATGTATTGATCATTGCGAGATAGGTTTGACCAATCAGAAAACGGTCGCTTATAACTTCCTAGTAGTAAAACCAACCCAATTCGTGGAAGTCTACTACACATCAAATGTAATTGCGGACAGTATTCGTGTGTATTTGTATAATAACACCACGATTTACTTGACGTGTTTAAAGTAACGTATATATTTGTTGTTACAATATAATCATGTGCCAATGAGCTTATGAGCTCAGTGTGATGACGTATTGTCCACTTGTTTGACCGATATTACCCGCAGATAAGATTGCACGTGACGTGTAACACCAGTGGGTTGATGTTTAAATTGATCATATCAAGTTACTGACATTTTATTCGTCAATGGGTTCACGTACCGAGGGTTTATATAAGGTAGTTACCGCTTTGTGCAGGTTCCAACCTGATGATGCAACAGTGGAACAACCAAATCACAAATACTTCCTTATTTGGTCGGTAACCACTGTAATATTTGGTTTCGGAAGCTTAACTTGCTGTGAGTTATGAGCAATATACAAACCTGTCGTCGATGTGTAGGATAGGGACATTATTAGAAACACATGACACATAGGAACACTGTAGGAACACTGTAGGATGTATACGTGTACCTGAATCACGACAACACTCCACACCTGTTTACACCAGATTAACCTCTCCGAAATCCTGATGGGAGTGCCAAGTTTTAACTACTCTAAAGGTGTTTGAGGTCAATTTTTGATAAAGTAGTATATTTTAAATAGCTGGAAAACGTAGGTGTAGTTGTGTTTAGTTATCAGTCATTGTTAGTCAGTGGAGGACTTCATTATTACCACGGAATTACATGTAATGGGATTTCACTCCCAACAATTGCTGACATTCCGAGTAAATATGCAGAGACAAACTGCTACATGTACAAGGTACAGTACCTTTTCGACGATTAGTGAAACTGAAATTAAAACCACCATAATGATCACAAAACGTAAACCGAAAGTGTCGGTGTTCTATAAACAATCAACAACTTAAAAGTTACACAACTTCCTTTAATGAAAATTCAATAAATGTTATAAGTGCCGAAGGATTTCCGATCTTTCAAAACCCCCTTCATTTAGTCATGTTTTTTTTTTTGTAACGATACAAATGAAAATCACACTTTTGATTGTCATTTCAGATTAAACAATCTTCAAATATTTCCCACCAACAATACCGTTACATAGAAAATCGACGGTATTGTTTCAGTCTCCGTACCTGAAATAAAAGACAATAGAAAGAATTATTATGATTTTTATAGTTATATACCTACTTTGTACCTTTAATAATAGAAAATACATTTGCATTATGATTATTTCATAAACATTACCTTCCTCGTCACTGAAACAATAAAAAGCATTATGGTTGATTGCATTAAACGATAGAAAGATGATTGAATATTTTACTTGTGTCTAATAATGTCTTACATATTAGACATCACCATGGTTATATCTTATTAAACGTCGTCACTGAAACTATACTTGAGACATCATCATGGTCATATCTTATTAAACGTCGTCACTGAAACTATACAACAATAGACATCACCATGGTAATATCTTATTAAACGTCGTCACTGAAACTATAGAACAATAGACATCACCATGGTTATGTCTTATTAGACGTCGTCACTGAAACTATACAACAACAGACATCACCATGGTTACATGTATATCTTATTAGACGTCGTCCCTGAAACTATACAACAATGGACATCACCATGGTTATATCTTGTTAGACGTCGTTACTGAAACTATACAACAATAGAAATCACCATGGTTATATTTTATTAGACGTCGTCACTGAAGATTTACAACAATAGACATCACCATGGTTATATCTTATTAGACGTCGTTACTGAAACTATACAAAAATAGACATCACCATGGTTATATTTTATTAGACGTCGTCACTGAAGATTTACAACAATAGACATCTCCATGGTTATATCTTATTAGACGTCGTCACTTAAACTATACAACAATAGACATCACCATGGTTACATGTATATCTTATTAGACGTCGTCCCTGAAACTATACAACAATGGACATCACCATGGTTATATCTTGTTAGACGTCGTTACTGAAACTATACAACAATGGACATCACCATGGTCATATCTTATTAGACGTCGTTACTGAAACTATACAACAATAGACATCACCATGGTTATATTTTATTAGACGTCGTCACTGAAGATTTACAACAATAGACATCACCATGGTTATATCTTATTAGACGTCGTCACTGAAGTGATACAACAATAGACATCACCATGGTTATTTTATGAAAGATACATGTAAGACAAATTATGTTTTGTTTTGTTCCGGAAAATAGAAGCATACCTTGCTTGAGTGGTTTCACATCCGCTTCACTACTGAGCAGTTCAGTTATCCAGCGGACAATAAATAAGAAAGCACCAGGAGCAAAAATCAAATATACTAACTTCACATAAATACCACCAGTTACGTAAAATTCAAAAGAAATGGTCTCGAAAATATATATACAGAAAAGATAAGCTTGAGTTCAAACAGTGAAGTTGCACGACTGACATTCTCCGTTAAGGTCCATCGGATTAACTGTACAATGTGCTCCATTACACATTAACTGTAAAAGGTGATCCATTACACATTAACTGTACAATGTGCTCCATTACAAATAAACTGTACAATGTGCTCCATTACACATTAACTGTACAAGGTGATCCATTACACATTAACTGTACAAGGTGCTCCATTACACATTAACTGTATAAGGTGATCCATTACACATTAACTGTACAAGGTGATCCATTACACATTTACTGTACAAGGTGATCCATTACACATAAACTGTAGAGTGTGCTCCATTACACATAAACTGTACAATGTGCTCCATTACACATTAACTGTACAAGGTAATCCATTTCACATTTACTGTACAAGGTGATCCATTACACAATTACTGTACAAGGTGATCCATTACACATTAACTGTACAAGGTGATCCATTGCACATTAACTGTACAAGGTGATCCATTACACATTAACTGTCTGTACAAGGTCATCCATTACACATTTACTGTACAAGGTGATCCATTACACCTTAACTGTACAAGGTGCTCCATTACACATTAACTGTACAAGGTGATCCAATACACATTTACTGTACAAGGTGATCCATTACCTTAACTGTACAAGGTGATCCATTACACATTAACTGTACAAGGTGATCCATTACACATTAAATTAGAAGGTTATCCATTACACATTTACTGTAGAAGGTTATCCATTACACATTTACTGTACAAGGTGCTCCATT